TTTTTTAAATCGAATTCAAAATGGCTGACTGGCGGCCATTTTGTTTTAATAAATGGGCTTCTAGACCCATATCTCCGACTTGTTTTGACTGATAATATTTTCAAATTTTAAATATTCATTATACATCATGTCATAGATAAACAGATATATTGGTTTGACGATCCTATTCAAAATGGCCGAATGGTGGTCATTTTTGTGCTAAAAAATCATCAAATATCAAGCTTTTATGGGTGGATTTCGTTCAAACTTGGTACATACATTAGACATTACAGGTTCCTGATGCTCGTCATTTTATTTTTCAGATTGGATTCAAAATGGCTGACTGGCGGCCATTTTGTTTTAATGATTGTGCTTCTAGAGCCATATCTCTTAAATGCTTTACCTTATTATATTTCAATTTTATATATTCGTTATACATCATGTTATATATATACATGTATTCAAAATGGATGAATTTTAATGCTGTTCCAGAGCAATATCTCTCAATATGGACAAGTACTATTTAATGTTATTTTAATGTTAAAAAAATCATATTCCTGACATGGTTATATTCCAGCTATATTACTATAAACAAAACTATATACATGTATCTTAAATTTGATAACTAACGGGGACTGTGTCATGCATGGTTTGTCAGTAATAGCACCCCTCTAGGGTAAACATGAAATGTTCAAAAAAATAAAAGTTCATATTCACTAATGTGACTATTGAGGAACTTTGAATAAGGTCTGCAGGTGCTAACTTTGAATAAGGTCTGCAGGTGCTAACTTTGAATAAGGTCTGCAGGTGCTAACTTTGAATAAGGTCTGCAGGTGCTAACTTTGAATAAGGTATGCAGGTGCTAACTTTGAATAAGGTCTGCAGGTGCTAACTTTGAATAAGGTCTGCAGGTGCTAACTTTGAATAACGTCTGCAGGTGCTAACTTTGAATAAGGTCTGCAGGTGCTAACTTTGAATAACGTCTGCAGGTGCTAACTTTGAATAACGTCTGCAGGTGCTAACTTTGAATAAGGTCTGCAGGTGCTAACTTTGAATAAGGTCTGCAGGTGCTAACTTTGAATAAGGTCTGCAGGTGCTAACTTTGAATAACGTCTGCAGGTGCTAACTTTGAATAAGGTCTGCAGGTGCTAACTTTGAATAAGGTCTGCAGGTGCTAACTTTGAATAACGTCTGCAGGTGCTAACTTTGAATAAGGTCTGCAGGTGCTAACTTTGAATAAGGTCTGCAGGTGCTAACTTTGAATAACGTCTGCAGGTGCTAACTTTGAATAACGTCTGCAGGTGCTAACTTTGAATAAGGTCTGCAGGTGCTAACTTTGAATAAGGTCTGCAGGTGCTAACTTTGAATAAGGTCTGCAGGTGCTTGTGTTTCACCATGCCTGGTTGATGCCGGGATAGCGAACTTGATTGTCACAATTTATTTTACACATATGGTATGCATGCACGTTGCATTGCTACTCGCATTGAAAATAGTGTGGTGTGTCATCTGTGGTGTATTAATAACATGCTCTTTTCATCATTTCACTTTAGAAGACTTTGAGCACTTGCATGAACTTTTGAGTGTTCTAGCCCCTGGTGATCGCAGTGCCACCATACAAGACTGGAATGTTGGTGGAAAGGTGTTCCTGGACTACATTCGGATATCACAGAAACTAGAAAGCTTAAAGAATGAAGGGATTCCAAACATGTACGATGTGGAAAGATTGCATCCTGAAATTGCGTCTTTGTGTGGTAGAGTAAAACATCTGGAGTGCCATACAGCAAAGGATAGGTTATGTCAGTCTGAGATGGCCAAGAAGACTGCTAACCTGATGAAAACAGTACTTATATTGCAGGTACGTATACAAATTTGGCATGACTATTCACAAGTGTAACATTCTGGACGACTACAATGCAACTATGAATGTTTTGAAATGCTAAACTCTTTGTGAGAATGTTTTGGAATATTAAAATCTATCTATGAATGTTTTGGAAGGCTAAAACCTATGTATGAATGTTTTGGAAGGCTAAAACCTATGTATGAATGTTTTGGAAGGCTAAAACCTATGTATGAATGTTTTGGAAGGCTAAAACCTATGTATGAATGTTTTGGAAGGCTAAAATATGTGTATGAATGTTTTGGAAGGCTAAAATCTATGTATGAATGTTTTGGAAGGCTAAAATCTATGTATGAATGTTTTGGAAGGCTAAAATCTATGTATGAATGTTTTGGAAGGTTAAAATCTATGTATGAATGTTTTAGAAGATAAAATCTATGAATGTTTTGGAAGGCTAAAACCTATGTATGAATGTTGTGGAAGGCTAAAACCTATGTATGAATGTTTTGGAAGGCTAAAATCTATGTATGCATGTTTTGGAAGGCTAAAATCTATGTATGAATGTTTTGGAAAGCTAAAATCTATGTATGAATGTTTTGGAAAACTAAAATCTATGTATGAATGTTTTGGAAGGCTAAAACCTATGTATGAATGTTTTGGAAGGCTAAAACCTATGTATGAATGTTTTGGAAGGCTAAAATATATGTATGAATGTTTTGGAAGGCTAAAATATATGTATGAATGTTTTGGAAGGCTAAAATCCTTGCATGAATATTTTGGAATACTAAAATATATGTATGAA